GCCCAATCCTTTTTGTAGCAAAGGACAAGCCTGGACAAACTCTTATATGATGTAAAGCGCTCCTGAGGACACATGGGAATTATCGTCAAGCTAGTTTTCATCACAATCATATGATTCACGTTCGGTACTTTGATAATCTGATATGTGGGTGGACCGGTGCTTGGGTGCTGTCCTTACTTGGACAAGCATCCCACTTATGATTAACCCCTATTGCAAGCATCCGCAACTACAACAGAAGTATTAAGGTAAACCTAACCATAGCATGAAACATATGGATCCAAATCAGCCCCTTATGAAGCAACGCATAAACTAGGGTTTAAGCTTCTGTCACTCTAGCAACCCATCATCTACTTATTACTTCCCAATGCCTCCCTCTAGGCCCAAACAATGGTGAAGTTTCATGTAGTCGACGTTCACATGACACCACTCGAGGGATGACAACATACATCTCATCAAAATATCGAACGAATACCAAATTCACATGACTGATAATAGCAAGACTTCTCTCATGTCCTCAGGAACAAACGTAACTACTCACAAAGCATATTCATGTTCATAATAAGAGGGGTATTAATATGCATAATGGATCTGAACATATGATCTTCCACCAAGTAAACCAACTAGCATCAACTACAAGGAGTAATCAACACTACTAGCAACCCACAGGTACCAATCTAAGGTTTGGATACAAATATTGGATACAAGAGATGAACTAGGGTTTGAGATGAGATGGTGCTGGTGAAGATGTTGATGGAGATTGACCCCCTCCCGATGAGAGGATCGTTGGTGATGACGATGGTGATGATTTCCCTCTCCCGGAGGGAAGTTTCCCCAGCAGAACAGCTCCGCTGGAGCCCTAGATTGGTTCCGCTAAGGTTCCGCCTCGTGGCGGCGGAGTCTCGTCCCGAAAGCTTGCTTATTCTTTTTCCTCAACGAAAGACTCCATATAGCAGAAGATGGGCATCGGAGGGCCACCAGGGGGCCCACGAGACAGGGGGCCCTACCCAGGTAGGGCGCGCCCCCCACCCTCGTGGCCAGGGTGTGGCCCCCCTCTGGAACTTCTTGCGCTCAGTATTTTTTATATATTCTGGAAATAGCTTTCATGAGTTTCAGGACTTTTGGAGTTGTGCAGAATAGGTCTCTAATATTTGCTCCTTTTCCAGCCCAGAATCCCAGCTGCCGGCATTCTCCCTCTTTATGTAAACCTTGCAAAATAAGAGAGAATAGACATAAGTATTGTGACATAATGTGTAATAACAACCCATAATGCAATAAATATCGATATAAAAGCATGATGCAAAATGGACGTATCACATAGCAACGAGGGGGAGAGTGTGTCTACGTACCCTTGTAGACCGTAAGCGGAAGCGTTTCACAACACGGTTGATGTAGTCGAACTTCTTCGCGCTTCAACCGATCAAGTATCGAACGCACGACACCTCCACGTTCCGCACACGTTCAGCTCGGTGACGTCCCTCGCCTTCTTGATCCAGCAAGACATCAAAGTAGTAGATGAGTTCCGTCAACACGATGGCGTGGTGACGGTGATGGTGAAGTGTCCTCCGCAGGGCTTCGCCTAAGCACTACGAAAATATGACCGAGGGTGTAAACGGTGGAGGGAGGCGCCGCACACGGCTAGGCAATTGTCCGATGTGTGCTAGGCGCCCCCGCATCATATATATAGGTGGGAGGGAGAGGGGAGAGGCCAAGGGGCACCCCAAGTAGGTCTGAATCCTACTTGGGCTCCTGCCCTTGGCCGCGCCCCCCTGCCATGTTTGTCGGAGGGGGAAGGAAAGAGGGGGGGGGGGAGAGGGAAGGAAATGGGAATCCTAATCCACACTTATCTTTCCCTTCTCCCCTTTCCTTCTCCTTCTTAGGCCGGTCCATATGGGGGCGCACCAGTCCTTTGTGGCTGGTGTGTTTCCCCTCTTGGCCCATAAGGCCCATATCTTTTGCCAGGGGTGTCCGGAACCCCTTCCGGTGACTTGATAAGTACCCGGTACCCCCCGAAACACTTCCGGTGTCCGAATACCATCGTCCTATATATCAATCTTTACCTCTCGGCCATTTCGATACTCCTCGTCATGTCCGTGTTCTCATCCGGGACTCCAAACAACATTCGGTCACCAAATCACATAACTCATATAACACTATATCGTCAACAAACGTTAAGCGTGCGGACCCTACGGGTTCGAGAACTATGTAGACATGACCGAGACACCTCTCCAGTCAATAATCAATAGCGGAACCTGGATGCCCATATTGGCTCATACATATTCTATGAAGATCTTTATTGGTTGAACCGTTATGACAACATACGCAATTCCCTTTGTCCATCGGTATGTTACTTGCTCGAGATCCGATCGTCGGTATCTTCATACCTAGTTCAATATCCTCGTGACTAACTCCTTAGTTGTTTGCTTGCAAGCTTATGATGTGTACTACCGAGAGGGCCCAGAGATACCTCTCCGATACTCGGAGTGACAAATCCTAATCTCGATCTATGCCAACTCAACATACACCTTCGGAGATACCTGTAGAGCATCTTTATAATCACCCAGTTATGTTGTGACGTTTGATAGCACACAAGGCATTCCTGCGGTATCTGGGAGTTGCATAATCTCATAGTTGAAGGAATATGTATTTGACATGAAGAAAGCAATAGCAAGAAACTGAACGATCAATATGCTAAGCTAACGGATGGGTCTTGTCCATCACAACATTCTCCTAATGATGTGATCCCATTATCAAATGACAACACATGTCTATGGTTAGGAAACATTAACCATCTTTGATCAACGAGCTAGTCTAGTAGAGGCTTACTAGGGACATGGTATTTGTTTATGTATTCACAGATGTATTTAGGTTTCCGATCAATACAATTCTAGCATGAATAATAAACCTTCATCATGAATTAGGAAATATAAAATAACAACTTTATTATTGCCTCTAGGGCATATTTCCTTCAAGCACCAGACGAACAATTCTAGAAATGGTTAATTCAAAGCGTGGTCATTCATGTAAGGTGCCAATAGCATCTCCTTGGATTCCTGCAACCAGGAGATCAAATGACAGTGAAGATCAAATAACAAAATACTTATTTTCTAACATGAGAACGGCGACGCTAATCAAGAATAAATAGTGAGTCCTTGTTCTTTTAACATGAGGACACCAATGGCTGATCCAACAAACGGAAAATCAAATCACAATGTTGGTGTTCAATATTTCTTATTTCTGTTTTCTGTATAACCTCATTGCGGAAGGTGTCTCTGGTTCCATGGAAATTAATTGCTTTTGGCGAAAGAACCACGTCCATCACAAACCGATTTTTTCAAGGCTTCGGCTTGAGGGTCAGAGATATTAAGTTTTAGTTTCTAAATTTCAAACATGAGTAAATTAGGTATCGGTATTTGGAGTCTTGGCCAAGTAATGCACATGACCCACAACATCTAGGTCAGGAGAGACCCAAATGCCACTAGGTTTGCAGTGGTTCTCTCAACTTTAGTTGGTAATTCTATTTAATTATGCATGGCATGGTGATTTGACAAAATGGCCCCATTAAACCAAACAAGAATGTATTGGAGATTGCATGATGAATCTTTATTAATGATACAACACGATCTTACAGGAGTTCTCCGCGCTCTCGCCATCCATGGATTTGGGCATTTGGAGAAGGGGATTGGGAGGGAGCGAGGGGGAACGGACACGTGCTGGGGTGGGGATTGGGGATTTATGACATGGCTGGTGTGGGGTTCTGGGTAAATTAGCGAAATGGCAGGGTTATGACCACAAAAAGATCCTGGCCCACACTGTGTATGGGGGGAGGGGGGGGGTACATGGCGGCACCAGAGCGACCGACCATCAAGAGGACTGTATAATGGATCATAGATGTTACGTATTTTCATGTATAAGGACTATACTTTAGTGTTTCTCGAGTTTGGGTAACAAACCGTTACCCGCAGTTTGAGGACGAAGTGTGTAATCTTCTCGAATTCTAGAGGGTTAAGGAGAGAGAGGCTGAAGGTGCACTGAACTTTTCAAAAGGCTCTGACAAAAAAAATCCATTAAGATTCAAATCCTTCAATCTACGAAAATCCTTCAATCCAAAAAGGTTTTGAAAACTGACTAATTCTATGTTTTTTAAAGACTAAGCCTATAATTTGATTTGTGTTCTATTTTTTTTTTCGTCAAAATTTGTGCTTCAAGTTACTCCCAGGCTGTTTCCACTTTATATTGTGGTAATTGGCTTTGTTATACGTGTAGGTAACTTTAAATTAAATGAAATGATGACAGTGCTCATATATGGGTGTAAACCAAAATCAACTTGAAGTCCATTTCCCAAAGAGATGGATCACGTCCTCGTTTTCCTTGTAAATTTCCGAATGGAAAACTAGTTTTTCTTCCGAAAAAACCCACGAACACGAGGGTTTTGTCCCCGTCGACCCACGGTCGCCATTGGCCACTCTGCTCCGCCGCTCCATGCTCCTCCCTAGCCTCCTCCGCGGCGCCCACCTGCTGCGGCCGTGCCACCCTCCCCGCCGCCACCTCTCCCGCCTCCTAGACCGCTACGGCTTCGTGCCGCCGGCCTCCCTGACCCCCACCGCGAAAGAGATCTCCCACGGCACAGGCGCCGCCGCCGACCAGAAGCGTCGGACCAAGAAGCCCCCCTACCGGCCGCCCTCTTCGCTGGACCGCGGAGACCGCCCGGCCTCCCACTCCGACCTCCCCTTCGATTTCCGCTTCAGCTACACGGAGAGCTCCCCGGACGCCAAGCCCATCGGGCTCCGCGAGCCCAAGTACTCCCCTTTCGGCCCCGGTCGCCTCGACCGCCCCTGGACCGGCCTCTGCGCGCCCGCCGTCGACACCACGCTCCGGAGCGTCGACGCCGAGGACCCCGCCCCCGCCGCCGAGAAGGACCTGGAGGAGGCCCGGCGGCGCGAGCGAGAGCGCGTGCTCGGCGAGCCGCTCACCCCCGCGGAGCGCTCCTTCTTGGTCGACAAATGCCAGAAGAACCGCACCAAGCGGCAGATCAATCTCGGTAATTTGGTCTCGGGTTGTTCGAACAATACTAGTAATGAATTAATTGTGCATTTGGAGCTGCGATACAGATAATGACAGCTGATGTTTCTCTAGGGAGAGATGGGCTCACTCATAACATGCTGAATGACATTCACAACCACTGGAAGCATGGCGAGGGGGTCAGGGTGAAATGCCTTGGTGTGCCGACGGTTGATATGCAAAATGTGTGCCGTGAGCTCGAGGTATCTCTAAGAACATGAACACTGCCACTTTACATCCATGGAGTTTATCAAGTACTTTATGGATATCTTCGGAGCTCTTATTTGATGTCACTGGTTCTGATATTACTCTCCTGTAGAAGCCTGAGTAATGCTACCTTTTTCCCAGGATAAAACTGGTGGCCTTATCATCCACAGGCATGGTGGCCAGTTAATACTATACAGAGGGAGGCATTATCATCCAAAGAAAAGACCTGTTATTCCGTTGATGTTATGGAAGCCAGCTGAACCGATCTACCCAAGGCTAATTAAAACAACAATAGAAGGGCTGACAGTTCAGGAGACAAAGGAAATGAGGAAGAAGGGCCTACATGCTCCTGTCTTGACAAAGCTTGGTAATCCTTGTCTCCCTTTTTGTTTAGACATAGTATCATATAGATGTATGTGTTTAAAGTATGCCTAACTAACCAACCACGTCCATTTCACAGCAAAGAACGGGTATTATGCTAGTCTCGTGTCGATGGTTCGAGATGGTTTTCTGGCCGATGAATTGGTTCGTATAGATTGTAAAGGATTGCCAAAGAGTGATTATCGGAAGATTGGAGTCAAGCTCAGGGTGAGTTTCTCATATAGCCTTATATACACCAAAATAAGTAGTAAGAATGTTTATTTGATCTGAAGATGACCTGTAACAGGATGCATTTCTCTCTCCTCCTTTTTTGGTGTAGGACCTTGTTCCTTGTATTCTTGTGTCTTTTGACAAGGAGCAAATTATTGTTTGGAGGGGGAAAGACCATGATGAAAGCATACAGGATAATATGCACAAGGCATTCCCTTCAGTTCTTCAATTAGAGAGTGCAGCAGGAGAGAATGAACAGGAAGAAGCATCAAGTGAGAGTGTAGCAGGAGAGAATGAACATGGTGAAAAAGAAGAAACATCAGTTGACTGTTCTTCTGATGAGTGGTCTGAGATCAGTAGCTCTGACGATGTGCCAGATGATAAGTAGGACATTTCCAGGGTAGAATATCCTTAGATCGATCTGACATATCCAGAGGACTCAATCTGCCACCAGGTGTTCACAAAGTTGGCATGTCATCCAACACCACCAACTTGTCCATTCTTACCAGTGATGATTATGTTCTATCACTAGTCGCAACCAAATCCAGTAGCCCTGCTTCTGTCCTTCGAAATTCTCCATGGCTAGTTTTTCGTGATTGTACAAGTTTGTTCACTTCCACAGGTTGGCTATAGTTGAGATTCAAATAAAGAAATTGTAGCTTGAGGGTCCAACAGTTAGTACTCACTGGACCATAGTGCCTTTGATCTTATTATACTGACCGCTAATAGAATGAAATAGTGAAACATTGAATATTATACAAATGTCATTTGACTTCCTAGAGCATCATGCAAATTCTAAAGAACATCAATCGAACAATGCTGTCTAGTCTTTTCTGCCTTTTTGCTTTATCCACCACTGCCAATTGAATTGATCGCCTCCCCACTATGATTGGATTGAGCTACGTGGAGGATAGGGTCCAAGTTTTAAGCTTTGACAAGGCTGCGTCTGTTGGAGGCAAGGTATCACAAGAGGCTGGCGCTTTAGCCGTTGCCTCGCCATCAGTTACTAGTCAGCTACCCAGGATCAATCAATTCGGCCAAGGTAAGATGTTGGAGGAAAACAAATTAGACCATAAGGCAGTTTATTGATTAAATTTCTTAAAATCACGCTTTCTTTTTCAAAACTATAAAAAACACTTTAAGAACGTATATTTACTAACCACATTGCGAGTGACAAAAGTGGTCTGGAGAAATATTCTGTCACAGAAGTGTGGTTTTGTGAAATGCACTTTTAGAGGTGTGGTTTCTTGATGCTGTATGACTAAAGAAAGTCTGGTTTTTTGAGAAACTTATTACTCCAGTCTATATACCTATCTGCCTCAGTTATAGTTTTCACCTTGGGTGTCTGGCATATTTCAGATGGACCAGTCAAGGTGAGATATTAGAAGAAACTGAACTATTACTCTATGCTTCCAATGGATGGTTCAGCTCCCTCTAATCCTCGCTTTGAGCGGTGCATGCATGTAACCCAATCTGTTCCTTGTCTCTAGGCTTCAGAAGCCGACGCCAGGCAATCAATCAGTCAACCGAAGGTGAGATATTGGAGGAAAACAAGCTGATCGGTGACCACGAATAGTTGGCCATCTGTTTGTTTTCCTCCAACTCTCACTTTCAGTGCCTGACAAGCACCTCTCCAAACAAGAACTGGCTGCATGTGTCATACCCACCTGGGAAGTAGCTGCATGTACTGAATTCTGTCGCAGCTGCATGCCCATTGTGCTGTGTCCTGAATTCTGTTTAAAAGGTGAAAAGGCTTCAGGATCTGTACCATGTACTTACTCTGGTACCAGACTACCAGTGTAACTAACTGTCACATGCAAACTGATCAGGCTTCGGTTCACTCTCCATAGTACCTTGGTCTCAGTTACAAACGATCTGAGGGTTATTAGTAAGGATTCGACTACGACTAACATTGCAATAAAATGGAAGTAATAATGAATAATGTACATAAAGTTTCGCCAGATTCAATCATGATTACTCTAAGAGGGGAAAAGCCCTAAAGAACATTTACTTCAGTTCAGGTTTTGTTTTGTGTAGAGGTTTGAAGTTTCAGAAATTTCATAGAACATCCACGTATCTACAGTTTACAGACGTTGAACAAAGGCAGTGCACTAACCTAGTTCACTCCAATGTGAACTTTTCTTAGCAATTCCCGTGCAAAAGAAAGAAAATAACCTTTTCTTCTCAATTATTATTGTTGCTCACAGCCACACATTTTAGAATATTAGAGCAACTTTAGCACATGTGTCATACCCGCAGCCTCTAAACCCGTTTTGGAGTGTCCCGTAATTTTTTGGAGGCTTTGCAATCTCAGATTCACCCCTCCATAGGTTTTTCTCCCATTTATTTGGATCAACTCAATAAATCTACTTCTAATTGGGGGCAATCAAACGCTGAATAAAATTTGATCAATGCTCAAACAGCATTGTAAATACATAGGTCTTTATATTGTACTCCCTCCGTTCCATAATACATGACTTCCATTTGTCAAAATATAAATGTATCTAGACATGTTTTAGTATGTAGATACATCCATTTTTGAAGTCAAGTATTTTGGAACGGAGGGAGTAGTAGAGTTTGTTGCTTTTTACATATATGTACCACTGTAGCTAATATATACAGGGGGGGGGGGGTGATGTCGATAAACATCATTTTCATACACTACACTACACTATCATACTAGACAGATGTATAGGCAATGTCTAGTGAACTACGGTGACCTTTGGAGTATTTGCGTCTAGTCGGAGTCCAATGACTCGTCTGCAGCCTAGCGTCCTCACGAGAGGCCTCCAGGCGCGGCTGCGTGAATGCATAGTGGAGCTCGAGCTCCTCGATCGTGCTGGCGGTCCGCGGTGTGTCTAACCAACCATGCCCATTTCACAGCAAAGAATGGATATCATGCTAGCTTCGTGCCGATGGTTCAAGATGGTTTTCTGGCTGATAAATTGGTTCGTATAGATTGTAAAGGATTGCCAAAAAGTGATTATCGGAAGATTGGAGTCAAGCTCAGGGTGAGTCTCTCATATAGCCTTATGCCAAAATAGTTAAATGTTTATTTTCCCTGAGGATTACCTGTAACAGAATTCATTTCTCTCTCCTCTTTTGCTGTAGGACATTGTTCCTTGTATTCTTGTGTCTTTTGACAAGGAGCTATTGTTTGGTGGGGGAAAGACCATGATGAAAGCATACAGGATAATGTGCACAAGGCATTCCCTTCAGTTCTTCAATTAGAGAGTGCAGCATTGAATAATGAGAGTGTTGAACAGGAAGAAACATCAAGTGAGAGTGCATCAGGAGAGAATGAGCATGGTGGAAAAGAAGAAACATCAAGTGACTGTTCTTCTGATGAGTGGTCTGAGATCAGTAGCTCTGAGGACGCATATCACACGATTGATGAACTGCCGCCTGGTGTTCACAAAATTGGCATGTACTAGTCACAACCAAAATCAGTAGCCCTGTTTCTGTCATTTGAAACTCTCCATGGCTATTTTTGGTGACTGTACAAGTTTGTTTATTTCCATAGGTTAGCCATATAGTTGAGATTCAAATTAAGCAATTGTAGCTTGAGGGTCCAACAGTCAGTACTCAGTGAATCAGAGTGCCTTTTCTTATCTTATTATACTGATCGCTAGTAGAATGAACACAGTGAAACATTGAATACTATACAAATGCCATTTGACTTCCTAGAGCATCATGCAAATTCTAAAGAACATCGATTGAACAACGCTGTCTACATTTTTCTTGCCTTTTGTTTTATCCACCACTGCCTATTGAATTGACTGCCCATCCTGGAGTGGAGGATAGGGTCCAAGTTTGTAGCTTTGACAGGGCTGCATCGGTTGGAGGCGAGGGATCACAAGAGGCTGGCGCTTTAGCCTTCGCCTCACCAACAGTTACTAGTCAGCCACTCAGGATCAAGCGCTTCGACCAAGGTAAAATGTTGGAAGAAAACAAACTAGACTATAAGACAGTTTATTGAGTAAATTTCTCAAACCAACGCTTTCTTTTCCAAACTATAAAAAAATCCTACACTTCAAGAAAGTATTTACAACCATATCGCAAGTGACAAAAGTGTGGTCTGGAAATATTCTGTCACATAAGTGTGGTTTTGTGAAATGCACTTTTAGAGGCGTGATTTCTTGATGCTTTGTGACAAAAGAAGTCTGTTTTCGTTTTTTGAGAAATTTATTACTCCAGTCTATATCTAATCTGCCTCAGTTCCAGTTCTCACCTTGGGTGGCGGCAGTGCGTCTCTTGCATATTTCCCGGATGGACCAGTCAAGGTGAGATATTAGAAGAAACTGAACCATCACTCCATGTTTCCAATGGATGGTTCAGCTCCCTCTAATCCTCGCTTTGAGCGGTGCATGCAGGTTTGTAGCTGTTTGTAACCCAATCTGTTCCTTGTCTCTAGGCTGCAGACAGGCAATCAATCAGTCAACCGAAGGTGAGATATTGGAGGAAAACAAGCTGATCGGTGACCATGATTAATTGGCCATCTGTTTGTTTTCCTCCAACTCTCACTTTCAGTGCCTGACAAGCACCTCTCCAGGAAAGAACTGGCTGAAACAGAACTATCTATTCAGATGCTACCCTGCACTGGAGCTATGGAGTTGCTGCTTGCTCTAGGGCTCTAGTCAAGTTTATTTATAGCCAGCCCACCTGGGAAGCAGCAGCATGTATTTTCTGTTGCAGCTGCATGCCCATTGTGCTGTGTCCTGAATTCTGTTTAAAAGGTGAAAAGGCTTCAGGATCTGTACCATGTACTTACTCTGGTACCAGACTACCAGTGTAACTAACTGTCACATGCAAACTGATCAGGCTTCGGTTCACTCTCCATGGTACTTTGGTCTCAGTTACAAATGATCTGAGGGTTATTAGTAAGGATTCGACTACGACTAACATTGCAATAAAATGGAAGGAACAATGAATAATGTACATAAAGTTTCACCAGATTCAATCATGATATTTACTGTAAGAGGGGAAAAGCCCTAAAGAACATTTACATGAGTTCAGGTTTTGTTTCATGTAGAGGTTTGAAGTTTCAGGAATTTCATATAACATCCACGCATCTACAATTTACAGACGTTGAACAAAGGCAGTGCACTAACCTAGTTCACTCCAATGTCAACTTTTCTTAGCAATTCCCGCACAAAAGAAAGAAAAAAACCTTTTCTTCGCAATTATTTTTTGTGCTCACAGCCACAATTTTTAGAATATTAGAGCAACTTTAGCACATGTGTCATACCCGCAGCCTCTAAACCCTTTTTGGAGTGTCCCATAATTTTTTTGGAGGCTGCAGAGCCTATCAGCAAACTCAGATTCATCCCTCCATAGGTTTTTCTCTCATTTATTTGCATCAACTCAATAAATCTACTTCTAATTGGGGGTAATCGAATGCTGAATAAAATTGGATCAATGCTCAAACAGCATTGTAAATACGTAGCTCTTTATACTGCAGTAGAGTTTGCCGCTTTTTACATATATTTAGTACTGTAGCTAATGTCGATAAACAACATTTTCCTACACTATCGTACTAGACAGATGTATAGGCAATGTCTAGTTAAGTTAACTATATGGTGGCCTTCGGAGTCCTGGCGTCTAGTCGGAGTCCAATGACTCGTCTGCGGCCTAGCGGCCTCACGAGAGGCCTCCATGCACGGCTGCGTGAATGCATAGTGGAGCTCGAGCTCCTCGATCGTGCTGGCGGTCTGCGGTTTGTCTTAACCAACCATGCCCATTTCACAGCAAAGAATGGATATTATGCTAGCCTCGTGCCGATGGTTGGAGATGGTTTTCTGGCTGATGAATTGGTTCATATAGATTGTAAAGGATTGCCAAAAGTGATTATCGGAAGATTGGAGTCAAGCTCAGGGTGAGTCTCTTATATAGCCTTATGCCAAAATAGTTAAATGTTTATTTTCCCTGAAGATTACCTGTAACAGGATGCATTTCTCTCTCTAACTTTTTTGCTGTAGGACCTTGTTCCTTGTATTCTTGTGTCTTTTGACAAGGAGTTATTGTTTGGTGGGGGAAAGACCATGATGAAATGATGAAAGCATACAGGATAATGTGCACAAGGCATTCCCTTCGGTTCTTCAATTAGAGAGTGCAGCATTGAAGAATGACTGAATGAGAGTGTTGAACAGGAAGAAACATCAAGTGAGAGTGCACCAGGAGAGAATGAGCATGGTGGAAAAGAAGAAACATCAAGTGACTGGTCGTCTTCTGATGAGTGGTTCGATCTCCCGAGAGCTGATCTTGCGCTTCGACAAGGCCCAGGAGGACCGTGCACTCTCCCCACCCGAGGACTGGTTGCGGAAACAACTGAAGATCGCCTACCTTGGGCTGGCGTCCTTAGAGCGCACGATCGCGAGGCAACAGGCACGGATCGCCACCCTCAGGGACGGAGATGCTAACACGGCCTTCTTCCACCGCCAGTGTTCCTACCGCCGGCAGAAAAATCACATATTCAGCCTCACCGTGGATGGACACGTGATCACGGATCAAGAGGGGATGGCGCAGGCGGCCTTCGCACACTTTGACGAGCTGCTGGGCACAACCGGCGCGCGCGACCACTCGCTTGACTTGGCGCAGCTCATAGAGCCGAGCGACCTGACATGCCTGGACGCCCCGTTCACCCCCGACGAGATATGGGATGCGGTCAAACACCTCCCGGCACGCAAGGCGCCCGGACCCGACGGCTTTACTGCTGAATTTCTACGGGCCTGCTGGGGCATCGTCAGGCACGACTTCCTTGATGTCTTCCAGCAACTCTTCGAGCTGCGCGGTCGAGGCTTTAGCAAGCTTAACCAAGCTCTCTTGACCCTGCTCCCGAAGCGCGCCGACGCCTGCCAGCTTCGTGATTATCGCCCGATCTGCCTGATTCACCTTATGGCGAAGATCTTCGCGAAAGTGCTCTCACTACGCCTAGCGCCCAGGCTGACGGACTTGGTTAGCCGGAACCAGAACGCTTTCATCCCGGGCCGGAGCCTCCACAACAACTTCGTCCTCGTCAGGCAATCAATGAAGATGCTGCACCAACTTGGGGCCCCGAGAGTCATGATCAAACTCGACCTCACGCGAGCGTTCGATTCCCTATCCGCCCTTCCTCTTCGAAGTGCTGTGCCAGTACGGGTTTGGACCCAGATTCAGGGAATGGCTCGCAATTCTGCTCTCGACCTCGAGCACCCGGATCATGCTCAATGGCGAGCCAGGGCCGCCAATTTGGCACCGCTGCGGACTGCGCCAAGGTGACCCCGTGTTGCCGCAACTCTTCGTGCTCGCCGTGGACACCCTAGGGCGCCTTATCCGGTGCGCCCATGATTCAGGCATCCTGCAGCAGCTGCACCCGCGGCGTACAATACCGGCCATCTCCCTATACGCCGACGACGTGATGATATTCTGCCACGCTACACCAGGCGACGTGGAGGCAGTCAAGGGCATCCTAACCCTGTTTGGAGAAGCCAGCGGCCTCCGGGTGAACTACACCAAGAGCTCAGCCACTATCCTACACGGCGACACCGACGCGGCAGCAACGATTGCTCAAGCGGGATGCGCGTTGGCCGAGCTTCCCATCACCTATCTTGGCATCCCACTTACGCTGTGACGCCCCTCCGCCACCCAGCTACAGCCCCTTGTCGATTCCGTGGCTGCTAGCCTCCCCGCATGGAAGGCATGGCTCATGAACAAGGCCGGAAGACTAGCACTGGTCAAATCGGTGCTCTCAGCCATCCCAGTCCACCAAATGCTTGCATTTGCCCCACCCAAGAAGACACTCAAGCAGCTGGAGAAGATACAGCGAGGCTTCCTATGGGCTGGACGCGCAACGGCCAACGGTGGACACTGCCATGTCAACTGGCGCCATGTGTGCCGACCATTGGAGCACGGTGGCTTGGGGATTCGGGACCTGGAGCGCGCCGGCCTCGCGCTGAGGCTACGATGGCTATGGTACGCGCACACGGACGACGACCGCGCTTGGCAAGGGCTCAACCTCCAATTCTCTAGAGAGGAGCGCGCGCTATTCTTCGCCTCCACCACTATGGTCCTTGGGGACGGAGCGACGGCCCTATTCTGGGAAGATCGCTGGTTACATGGACAATCAGTTTGCGAATTCGCCCCTGCGCTACACCAATGCATCCCCAAGCGGTGACGCAAAGCAAGAACGGTGGCGGAGAGCCTAATGGGCAATGCTTGGGCCCGAGACATCCAAGGGGTACTTGGGATCCACG